CCCTTTCCCCCTGTGATTTGCCACTTTTCCAGTACCAAGCAAGTGACCACCACAAGGCAGGGGGGAAACTCATGCTCAAAAAGAGGGGCTGGTAAAGTATAAAAGACCTTGGCACCTATATCACACAAAACCCTTTTCTTTTTCCTCCTCCATCCCCAAATCTGCTGAGAAAGATAAGGGACCAGATTGATACATTTGAGTGATTTATATCTTTTTAATTTTTAATGATTGGACATTTAGTTTCATCATACACAGAAGAAGAAACATGACTATGAAGGAGGAAGCATTCCCAACTGAATAAGTTTGGGTTTATTTTGTTTGTTTTTATTTTGTTTGACTTTGTTCTGTTTCAGGGGCAGAACTGATTAGCTTCCCAACAAATGTCTGCAATTTTATCAGGAAGCTCACAATACGTAACAAGACTTGCAGAGCCCTGTTATGAGATAACATGAATGTGAAGGAATCTCTACCTGCACTTACTAAAAAAATACATTTTTGCTACAAGGAATTGTGGTGAAAAACTTGAAAATACGACATGGGGGCAGCCTGGAGAAGTAAGAGAAAGATAAAAGGATCTCAAAGTCATTGGGAGGCATTGTTTGTATGTTTCTAAGCATTATGGTTTATGGTAAATCTTAGGACTTAAGGTTTGGTCTGTGACTTTTGGGTATTTGGGAGGGGTACAATATCTTTCAGACCTTCTCCCCAAGTTGTTTATTTTCTCTGCTTTCTAGAGGTGAGGCTGTGCTGTAATCCAAACCAGGAGAAGAAATCATGTCCTTGCCTAGCCTGGTATTAGTTTCAAATTCTGTGCAAATGTTTGAATAGATTTTTCTTTTCACCAGACAATGCAACTATGACCTTTTCTCATCAAAAGGAAAGAACCAAAACCAACAATAATTTACACCAGTGCAATGCCATTCTTTGTACCATTGGTGAATTTGAAACAACTTTAAAAATGAAAAACAAACAAACCCAACCAAAACCGATTTGACTATATGAACAGTAATTTCCAGATCATTTCTTAACTTCTGTGAGCAAGTTTCCTCCAGCTGAGGAAATTCAGAATAGTTTCCATTTTGATAAGAATGGAACATCCATTCAGCAGACAATAGGAGCTGTTTAAACCTGCTAAATACTATGAAATAGATGTGTACAGCTAATTAAGGTATGTGTTGAATAGTAATTATGTCATCCTGAGGGATTTACAAATAGACTCTAGTTAAAATTTGATTCAATCTTTTATCATTCACAGAAGGTGCAAATTATTATTCATTTTACGTGCTCTGATTTCAGTTCTAAAGGTAATCCAGAAAAAAGGGAGAGGGATTTCTGTTTTATCAGCATTGTTTAAGAACTAAGATCCCTTAATTATCACACTGTACCAATAGTCTGCTACCCAACTCACTGAAGCAGTCATTCAGCTTTGAAACTAACAATTTACCCTCCAAGCAAAGGGAGATCCAAGGAAAAGTGTTTAGTCAGCAGGCAAAGACACCAAATTGTATGTTTTGGCTTTTGTTGGTGTTGCTGTTTCAGAGCTGTGCAAACGTGAGTCATTTACACAATGCCTCTCAATCAAAGGCATCAAAGCAAAGGAGACAGATTTCACAAGGAAATTAAAAAAAAAAAAGAAAGGCAAAGGTGAAATTATTTACGGGATCCAGTTCTTTTAAGCTTCTGGAACCTCTTTCCAGGCTTATACAACATGAATGGACTCTTAGTCTTGCTCCTTTATGCAATATCTCATCAGAGCAATGAAGAATTAGATAAGATTCCTGATAACTTTGTTAAAGTGTATTATAAATTCTTTCAAGTAACAAGGAAGTTACTGCAGTGTTTCTAGATTTATAACAATAATTGGCAATCCCCATAATTACCATTAAAGCTGGCCAAAAATGAAAATGAAAAAGAAAGTGTTTGATGAAATATTTTTGCCTCTCGGAAGGAAAGCTGTATCTTTCAAGGAAATTATATCTTGCACCTCTAAGAAGGAGAGCAGCAGCTACCCAGCAACACTTAGAAGTGGTGTGCAGTCCTTTAAGTTGAGCTTAAACAACGGTGCTGGACTTCTTGGGAAAAATTATCCAGGTGTAAAACCTAATTTGCTGTGCCATGATTTTATCCTTCCAGTGGAAGTGGCATTTTGGTAAGGTGGATGGAAGAACCCACATTATCTTTGCTTGGTCGGCTTGGTTTTCTTTGGGAGAGACAAATGGGCTTGACATAACTGGTTTTCTCTGCTCACCCCATCATATTTAATCTTTTGACACAGCTGCTTGCTCGCAGTACAGTTTGGAGTGCTATCCACTGAAAAACTGCTTGCTTGGAATCTATCAGAGAACTACCAGATTTATGCATAATTTTTTTTTTCATGCAGGCTCTCAGAGTGTTTAATAGGGGTGGCAAACACTGTAATAGAAGTGGAAAGTGTTCCCAGTTCTTAGCAAGATAAGGAAATGTTGTTTCTTATCTGTGATTCGAAAGGAGATGAAGGGTCAGTAAGGTAAAGATATGTGAAAGCTCTTTCACACTTGGGAAGAGCTACAGAGGAGGAATGTTTCTCACTGGTGCCTGGTTTGAGGGAAAAGGAAGAGAAAGAGGCAGCTCCTACGTAAAGGGAAAGGATAAGAAAAAATGTCAAGTAAAATCAGGGAAATGTGTTGGTTTATTTGCTTAAAGATACAGGTGCACAGCTCTGAGATTATTGCCACAAAGGAAAGAGCAAGTCAAGCTGAGGGCAGCTTTCAGTGCCCAATGTTGTGGATGCTTTGGGATTTATAAAAATCCGTAAGGCTTCAGAGATAGCTGAGAGGAGCGAGGAGAGTGCGATGGGCTCCAAGCATGGTCAGTTCTGGGGGAATGCACAGGAATTTAGGGCAGCCTGCTGTTTTAGGCTGTGCCTGTCCCATCCAGTGCAGCCCCTTGGAAGCTGTTTTTCACTGTGGTGTTTGCAGGAGTTATGAGGATGGGCAAAGTTTGATTTCAAGACTCAGCATGCATATGCCAAACTTAATAGTGGGGCTAGTAGGGTCTGCAGCCACTTAAATAAATTGTTTTCCTCCTCATCCTCAGCAGATTTTGTAGGTTATCATCTGATGTGGGCTGTAGGAACCTTTGCATGCCTGGCCTATGCTGGCGTTTGGGCTGGGAGAGAGCAGATGCCTCTGACTCTGTAGAAAGCAGAAGAAAACTATCCTGAGGTGGTTTCTTTGGTATTGGTTTTGTTGTTGGGGGGGGTTATGGTTTTTGGGCTTTGGGGTTTTTTTTTGTTTGTTTGTTTTTTTGGGGATTTTGAGGGTTTTTTGGAGTTTTGTTTGTTTTGGTTTTGTAGCATTACAGCAGCAGTGGACGTATTTCATTACTGTGCTGAGCTATTTTTTAGCACATCAGCTTTCATCTGCACACAATTTTTTTTTTAATTTATTTTGTTTATTTGCACACAACTGGCTGGTAAGTGAGAGGTGCATGTCCTGTGTTGAGAGGAGGAATGTTGTCTCACAGACCTGGGGACCAGCACTGTGTAGTGAGAGCCTGAACAACTCCTGAGTGTGCTATCCATAGAGCAAGGCCTGTGAGGAGCTGCTGGGGGAGCTGGGGCGTTTATCCTGGAGAAAAGGGGACTTTATAATTCTTTAAACTCCCTGATGGGAAGGTACAGCCAGCTGGGGTCAGCCTCTTCTCCCAGGACAAGAGGACATGGCTTTAGGCTGCACCAAGGGATGTCCAGGTTGGACACCAGGAGGAATTTCCCCACAGAAAGGGTTGTTAAACATTGGAATGGGCTGCCCAAGTGCCCAAGGAGGTGGCAGAGTCAAGGTCTCTGGAGGGTTCAAGAAATGACTGCATGTGGCACTTAATGCCATGGTCGAGTTGACAAAGTGGTGATCAAAGCTTGGACTTGGTGATCTCAGAGGTCTTTTCCAACCTGAATGGTTCTGTGATTCTTTCACTCTTGGAGAAGAAACTGATTTTCTCTTTAGTAATCGGAATACATGAGAAATGTGTGACCAGTCCTTCTCCCTTTGGACTGAAGGCTGCAAGCTGACCTGTGACAGTGTTCTCAGGGGCTTTGGGATGAGGGAAGAGATGAGGATCTGACTCCATATTCAGAAGGTTTATTATTTTATGATATATATTACATTAAAACTACACTAAAATAATAAAAGAAAAGGTTTCATCAGAAGGCTGGCTAAGAATAGAACAGAAAGCAAAGAATGATAACAAAGGTTCTGTCTTGGACTCTCTGTCCGAGCCAGCTGACTGTGATTGGCCATTAATTATAAACATCCAACATGGGCCAATCAAAGATTTACCTGTTGCATCCCACAGCAACAGATAACCATTGCTTACATTTTGTTCCTGAGGCCTCTCAGCTTCTCAGGAGGAAAAATCCTAAGGAAAGGATTTTTCATGAAGAGATATCTGCAACACTAAACTGGCTTTCAACATGACTGGGAAGGGAAATCTTGTCACCCTGCTGCTCTTACTGGGATATGTGCACCCATTTCCTTCTTGACAGATGAATACATGGGCTAAACTTTTGGAGCTGCATACTTAAAACTTGCATTTTACTTTCGTGCTGAAGAGTGGAAGTAGCTAAAATAGCTGGTAGTGCATGGAAGTTAATTCGTTGCTGAGCTTCTAATAGTAACAGATTTCAAAACTTATTTTTTGAATACATTTTGGAGCTGGTGGAATGCTTGAAAGATTCATTTCTAACAGAATTTGCATTCTGTGTAATTTGGATTTAATAGCTTGGTATAACACAGGCAAAAGGGTTTCTGAGTATATGACTCTCTTTTTCCATGACACAGTAGGTATTTCATCTTAATTTTTGGTTGCATGCTAAGAAATCAATATGTAAAGCACGAGAGTATGGATACTTGAAAGGAAAGCATCAGAGAAGTTGAGTAGTCATGTATTGGGTTAATATTAAAAACTGGAATATTTCTGAGTGGGAAAGGGCAATTCACAAACCACTTTTTCCCCTCCAACAGCTAATTCAGAGGCACAATTGTGTGAGCAGCCCCTTGGCAAGAGGACCCAGTGCAGCCTGTGACAGAACTGAGTGGAGATGATCCCAAGCTGAGAGTCACAAAGGATCTGCTTCGAGTTCACCCAGCGACCTGCAGGTTCATCCAGCACCCAGCACAGGTAAGAGATCTCCGCAGAACCTGCATTCCCCAGGTGTTGTATTTCCCAGCCATAACCCCTGCTCCGCAGAGCCTGCAGGTTTGGAAGCTGCTGATGCAGTTTCAGGTGCTAGGGCCAGGGTTTGTGGGGTTTCTTTGGGCTTTGGGTGTCTCTTGGTAAGGCCAGCTCAGAGTCCTGGTGCATTTGTCAGCAATCCTGCACCAAGGAGCTCATACACAGAATATTGTCTGAACCAGAATTTAAGATTAGAGGAGAAGTGTTGCCTGAGCCTCTGTATCTCATGTCCATGTAAATCAGGAGAGGTTTCTTTGAGTTAAGCAGGAGGTCTAGGTCAAGGTGGGGAGTGTGATGGCTCCTGGCCTCTTGCTGCAGCCAGCTCCTGGGGACAGTGAATTTGGTCCCAACTGTGCTCTTGTTACAGAATAAACAACAAAACCCCAATGAGCCAAACCCTGAGACATTCCAGGCTGCCTTTTGAGCTGTGTGCAAACAATAGGGATCTAGCTGAGAGGGGTACCTGCCCTTCCAGGCTGCTGGCAGCTCTTGGGCAAGCTGGTGCTCCTGGGCTGCTGGGCTGAGCCCTTCCAGAAGGCACTGAGGGTGGGGATGGACCCCCTGAAGCTTCTTCCTTGCTCTTTTTTCCTTTCTATACGCTTGTTCTTGGCATGGGGTGCCAGATTCCCAAGCAGACCCCAACTTTTCTTTTTTTTAAAATACAGAATAACTGTGCAGTCCATATAAAATGCTCTGCCATGTGAGTTATGAGAAGTCATGTTCCATGGGAACAGGGGGACGTGCCCTGCTCCTGCTAACTATATCCAAGGTCATGAAAACTGAAGGCTGTTCTGCTCCATCATCATTTCACTGGGGGCAAGAAAATATGGGATTTTATTCTTTGTGGCTTAGTTTTGGTCGGATATGGGGTTTCAGACTGGTAATATGCTTTCTCACCTAACATCCCCAAAAGATCTCTGCATGAAGATGTAGGCAGCACACTGAGGGTGTCCCAAAAACCCTGTTTTACACCCCAAAGTTTGGGGGTAAGTGACTGTGTGGTGTGCAATGAAGCACAGCAGTTGTGACTGCCCCCCAAAATGAGGGGCTGCCCCTGCAGCTGCATGGGCACTGAGACCCAGGGTGCTGCCATGGGGCAGCAGCCACAAAAGGCACTTTCCCACAGATACCATCCTGTCCTGCCTTCGGATTATTCCTGAATCGGTAGCCCTAATGAAGGGCTTTTGTCATAATGGGGGGAAAAGAAAAAAAAAAGGAAAATAAAAAAGAAACAAAAAAAAAAAAAGAAAAGGAGCAGACAAGAAGGAGAAAAGATGGGAATAGCTGGGATTATCTGTGTGCTGTCTCTCAGGTCCAGTGACAACAGCACTACAATGGGGAGCTTTCAGGGCTGCATATGGTCTTCCTTCCGAGGGAGTTGATTAAGCGACTCCGGATGAAATTGAAATCCTGTGATTTGACCTTTGTCTGGCCTGGGAGGGCTGCAATTCGCATAACAATTTCCTTTTGTTCTTTGTTTGGAGTTATTAATCCAACATGAGCCTCGAATTAATCAGGGGTAGTGCGTTGTTACATTTCTAATTCACAGCTCCACTGCTTGTGTCTTTTTTAATTAAGGCCGAATGATAGCAGGCCTTAGCCCCTGATTGCAACACTTACTAACCACACATTGAGGGATGAAGAGGCTAAATAGGCAGAATGAGATTACTTCAAGGTTTCACTTAATTGTTTTTGCCTTTAAGTAAAGAGCGCTGAATGAACATTGTTAATGCCAGGCTGCCAGCATTTCTTTTCTATATGTGTTGTGTGTGTGCAGGCTGGGGGAGGCTGGGGCTGGTGCACCAAGGACTCTGATGGCTCAGGGGTTTGTAAAACTGGAGCCTTTGGTTATTGATTTAAACCATTCCTCCCACCTCCTTTGGGGGCAGGGGCAAGACAGGGAGGAATGGAGTTGGAGAGCATTAAACTTCAGTTGGATGCATGAATTTCCTTGTGTCCTGAGCAAACCCATGGTTTGTGTGGTTTTTCTTGCTGTTTGCAACTGATTGAAAGGTATAAAAGGCAGGGAGATTGAAGGCTATCAGAGACGCTAAAGAAATGTGCTGACACACACAAAGCTCCCCAAAGGCTGGGAGTGGTAATAATCATAATAAAACCAAGGCCAGGCGGTTGTGTCGCAGCAGATTTTGCTCATGGGAAGGATGTTTGGGTAATTTTCAAAAGCCATTGGTAAATTTGTGTTGTGAGAGCCATCCAGGGCCAGGAGGGCGCAGGTGCTATTGCAGGGGAATGGTGTGGATGATCTCAGACAGACCCTGGGTCACACAGTCTGTGCCAGACGCTCGGGATGCCCGAGAAGGAAACACGCTGAGTGTCCAGCCTTGCAGCGCTGGTTTGCACAAACAGTTCTGTTAACTTAGAAAAGAAAAAGGGAAGGAATAACAGGATTCGTATTGCAGGTTTATGCCCAGTGTTTTAACCTCCTGTGGCGCAGTGCTTTGGATGGGATTGTTGTGGAGAAAAGGTTAATATTCAGGCTCCCAAACCTTGAGATGCTGAATGTACAGAAATCCAATTGAATTCCATTTGTGCCACGCACCTGGAATATCAGCTCTGTAATTGTGGGGAACTAACTCTCTCTGAGCTGTTTCATCCATCCAAGGAGCTGGAGGAGCTCCTTGGGTGTTTTCTGTGTAAAATGGAGAGCTGGTGTTAGGCACACCAGGTGCAGATACAGAGCTGCTGTTCTGGCTCTGCCATGGCACGTCCAGGCCACAACCCTGCTCCCACTGCTCTGAATTCCTGGGGTCTGGAGGCTGCTCCACACAGGATTATCTAAGCATGCAATGATGAAACCTCCAGGTAGATTAAGCAAAACTACAGTGTAAGCTCCAAAGGACAAAAATGTGCCAGGTTAAAAGCTTACTTCTGAATTTTAAACTGGGTCTGCTTTTTCAGATGAGCCTGAAAGGAACAGGCTATATTTAGCCTTCCATAGAAATGTATATAGTATGTGAAAACAAAAAAAAGCTAACACACCGATCTTTAGATCTGGCTTTCAACTGGCCACTAGTGACTTCTATGGTCAGTGATGTCAACACAGGATTTACACTGAACTGGGTTCACAGGTTCAAAGCCATTTTCTGCACTTTGCTGCTCTTTCCTTGGGTGCTGCCTGATCCTGTGTGTCAGCACACTGCTGGTGGATTGCCAGCTCCCGTGCTGGGAGAAGTCAATGGGATAAGAAGATGCTCAGCATTAGTTGGATAGGGCTGCCTGACAGGCAGTTCAAGTACCTCACACATCATTTTGTTTTTCAGAGGCAGTTTTGATGCTGTTACATTAAATGACACCTTATTCTGCAGCTGAATCACACTTTGCATGGAGAGAATAGGATTAAGCACACAAGGATCTGACCATCTATTGCTTGCTGTTTATTTCTATTTAAAGACTGAATGCTTCACATTTGTCCACCTTGTTCTCTTTTTCCTAGAAATCTTTGCTGTGTTTGTTTACAGCAGACCCAATTCCAAAACTGAAATCTATTTTCAGTGCTGTTCTGTGTCTCAAACCTACATCCTTCTTTTTTTTTATTATATTATTGCTTGAATGTTCACTGTTGCTGATTTAAAGGTGTCACATTACACTTCTAAAGGCTGCCAGGATCAGTATGTTTCTTATGTGAGAGTTTTGAAGAATATCTCAGACCCCAACGCCCAGTTGCCCTGTGTCCTGTTTAAACCTCATGGCAGCGGTCATTCAAAGCGGTATATTTGGGGTGCTTGTAGAATCTTCTTTTCCTCGCTCTTGCACATAATGTTCAGCATTGATGTATTCAGGCTCTCCCCAACTAACCTACAATGCCATGTAGAGCTCTGAGAAGGATGAAAGAAGTTGTACAAACACATGGCAGTGGAGTTGCAGTGGTTCTGGAGAAGGTTAACCCTTGCTGTGAGCTGTCCTGCAGGACCTGGCTGGAGCCACATCTCCTGTCAGATCTCAGCACTTGGCTTGCTCTGTGTAATATGGCATTACCAATCCTTTCAGTTACTCTGTGAAGGAAATTAGGCTTCTTGCCATTCTCAGGAACCAGAAGACCAGGTCAGGGTACATGATAATGCTCTTCCATCCTTGCCCAAAGTGGGCACTTCTTTGAGGGACAGTCCTGTAAGATCTGTAGGTCACTTGCAGCCACACCAATCAACGCTGCTGAGCCCACAGATCAAATCAGGAGTGACTTTGGCTGCTGCTGCTCTTCCTGGCAGTTTTAGGCAATCTGTTGCTGTTCCTGAAACCTTTCGTTGGGATCAAAGCTGCCCTGAGCTCGGTGCGCTCCCCACATCAGCAGCGAGCCTCGTGCAGCCCCGTGCCCGTCCAGGACCGTGCCCATCCCATGGAGCTGCTCCCCTTGGAGCTGGGGGACCAGGCTGGCCCCAGCCAGCTCTGCCTCCCTCTCTGCTGCTGGGACATAAGGTAGAGATTAGGGTTTAATGGTGCTTTGAGCTGCCCAGCGCTCCTCCCTCGGCGCTGTCTCCCCCTGCCTCCCTCCCTGCCATCAATGGGAGCCTTTGATGTGGCACAGGGGAAGACTGTTGGCTAACAGTCTGGAGCTGCCTCGTTTGAGCCAACCACCACATGAAAACAAATGCGAGCCATCATATTTCATTAACGGGCTGCCCCCCGCTCAAGTGCCCTTTTTGATGTGGGAGCTCATCCTGACAGGAATCAGGGAGATATCAGTGTGATTAAGGCCAGCAATAATAGTTAGTGCATTGTATTGTAAATTACCTTTCTGGGCCCTGCTACTTTATCAGCCCCACTGGCCTTGGCTTGGGTACATTTTTGACTACTCTGTATATACAGTGTATTAGCGCAATGGAGATCATTATGTGGCCTGTATTTGAGTCATTTTTATTTAAGATGCCAAACAATAAGCTGTTGATTGGGGGAACAAGAGGCGAACAATAATGTTCTGTGTCACATAA